TTCTGCGAGGAGGAGACGGCGAGGACTTGTGTCCTCGCAAAAGACTTTCTGCGAGGACAGCGCTGCTTTCTGTTAGGACTAACGTCCTCGCACTATTTCCTTTACCATATTTTTACAATAAATTTTCAAAGGAGAGAAAAAAAATAATGTTGATCAATAAAAGTGTATATGGTACATATAATTAACTAACAATTCTCAGAAAAGTACATGCACATTCAAAATTTGAGATCCTCTTTTTTCTCTCCATATATATAATTCTTTTCCCATGCAAATGGATAAGAATGTAGCTAAATGTGTAAAAGTGACACCTAAGAGATACACAATGAAACATGCAATATTATTATTCCAAGTTAATGAGATACACGGGCACACGTTCACAAAACATAATACACAAGGAACACATTCATTCTCAACCTCATTGTCCAAACTTGAAGATCAAATTCTCACAAATTTTGTGTGGTTTGCATATATGATATTGACAAATCTTAATCTTACGTGGATTTTGAGTTTTGTTCTTCACCACGTATGAAGATTTGAATCTCTTCAACGTTGTCCAGCTTGTACCATTGTCTTTTTCATTAAATTCCATTTTTCATCATAAATGGATAAGAGGCTCTATTATATACACACACACACACACACACACATATATATATATATAGTTGTATGATGACGTTATAGTCTCTAACTAAGATATACTTATGTCTGAAGGAATGAAAAGGCTTTCTAAAATTAAAGGATATGGTTTTTCAATCACAACCACTAGAATTCTTTGTGCTTATCCTTTTGTTTCCTTTTCTTTTTTTCCCTATTCATGCTTATACTTTTTTTTTTCTTTTTTTCTTTTCATGGTGTCAGGTCTGAAAGACATGAAACACATTACTTAACAAATTAGATTGTGATCTCTCTTTCAAAATGGAAAATGTGATGGGAATTACAAGAAAGACCTCCTTGATGTAATTAAATGATATGAGACTTGTGAGAGAGATCCTTTAAGAGGGTGAGAGGTAGAGGAAATAGAGAGATACCTACCTCACCTACAAATTGGAGAATATTCATGAATATCATGAAAATATTCTCTTTATAAAAAAGGTTGGTCCACCTATATATTGCTAATTGATTTGTCACAAATCCCAAATCACCAATAGTCTAAAAAAAAAAAAGGAATGGTCAAAATTCTTTTGAGATTTTCTTTTAATTTTCTTTCACTAGTTCTTTGAATATTATTTTTTTTACCAATCTAATCATCACTTGGCCGCACCATGCATCTTATGGCAAATAAGTTAGGTTCATACGGGGTTGTTCTTTTGCAACAAAATTCAGAAAAAATTTAAACTCAAATTACAACTTTATTTAAGTTCATATTCTTTTAAGTTCTAACTTTATTCAACTTTATTCAAGTTACAATTTTAATTTAAGTTATAACTCAAATTTAACTCAAAAACTACACTCAAGTCACACTCTAAAAGAACATGCCCCTAATGTTCCAAAACATTTTTTACAATTGAAGCAATTAAACAAAGCTTTACCCTTTACAAAAAAGTTGCCTGCATGTGACAAATCCATCTAATTTCTCTTTACTCTGTCTTCAGACAAGTTAATCAGTGAAAGATATGTGAAGATTTAATTAGAGTGGTAACTAACATCCCTAGTGCATAATCAATCACCGAAAACAGATTTTGTGTTCCATTACTTTTCATCTTTTTCATGTAGTTCTTTTGTTTTTGTTTTTTGTTTTTTGTTTTTTTTTTTAACTCATTGATATTTTAGTTTTTAACAATCTATCATCATCTTATTGATCTCCCAGAATCCAGGTGTTTCACGTCAGGAAAGTTCCACTTTTACTACAAAAAGAGAAAAAGAAATGGTCCACCTCATCCCACACAAATATCTTTTCATGCCTTGTTGTCCCTTCCAATCATTCAAAAAGTTCATACCCTAATTCAAAAAAAAAAAAAATCCCTTTTCTTCAAACGCTCTTTCTTGAGTTCGAGAGAACTTTCAGCCTTATTTATATATTGATGCAGCGGAATTGGAAATATAGAATTTACGTGTCTACTTCAGACAGAAGATGGGACTAAAGAATTTTAAATCCACCGAAACATAACTTATAAAGAAAAATTCTTAAATTGGACGAAAAACTCAATTTTAATATTTGGACATGTTTAGTTCGTTAATTCGAGTTTTTAATTCAAATTAAGATGTGATTTTATGTGAGAGCTTTTTACTGTAGTGAAAAGTTAGATGTGACTATTTCTGAGAACTTTTTACTGTAGTAAAACTCGAATTTTAAACTTAAATCAGTGAAATGAACAAAGTCTAGGGGTTGTTCTTTTGCAACAAAACTAAAAAAAAATTTGAACTCGAGTTACAACTTTATTCAAGTTTATGTTCTTTTGTAAAATTTGAGTTTGAACTCGAATTTGAATTCGAGTTTGAACTCGTGTTTAAGGCTAAACTCGAGTTCAAGTTTCCCCTTCAACTTGAGTTCATAAACTCGGACTCAAGTTAATGAACAGTGTTTTTTATATTCTTAAAAATACCATAACTTTTTCGTTTTAATTCTGATTGAGATTTTTTTTTTCTATGCATTCACAACGAAAAAACTAATAAAACCCCACCCATATACCCTATTAAAATTTTTCATCACCATTGAATTTTTATTAAAATACTATCTAAATACAAATTTAAGTTTTGACTCACTCAAACACAAACTCAAAAAAATTCTCAATTCAAATCATAACTCAAATGTGCACATCCAAACACAAACTCAAGTTACAACTTCAACTCAAATTATAACTTAAACTCAATTCAAAATCATCACTCAAGTCATTCTAACTCAAAAATACAAAAGAACAACCCCTTAATATATCGATAGTTAAGTCAAACTGTTACAATAGCTACTAACTACTATACTATTTATAACTTACTGATATAACAATAACACAACAAACATATACCTAAATTGATAATCTAGTACAAACGACCATTATAGCCAAATTCCTACATCAGTGTCATATTAGTAATTATGTATAAGGAGGGAGGAAAAAGTTAGGCAACAACATAAAGCTACATTAGCTTTTGTAATTTTGACCTCACCAACCAAGCTTGTTAATTTTGCTTGTAATTCAATGTAACTCTTTTTTGTCTCGAGGGAACAAAAAAGACTTTAACAGATTTTTGGTGATCTTTTTTTTTTTTTTTTTTTTTTCTTGAAGCAAAATCATGGTAAGGTTGTGTGTACCATGGTCCATTGTGTACATGAATTAGGAAACACAAGGGGATTATTTAGAGGCGGCCCATAAGCCAACATTTGGGCGACTTAAAAACGGCTCCTGTTTCTCTATTACCCACATTAATCATTCCACTCACCAAACTCGTGCTTCTTTGACTTCAAAGAGATACAAAAAAGTTTCACCCATTTTTCTTCGCAGATTTTATGGCATGTTTCTTCTTTTTTTCAACCCACAAGAAGCATAAACAGCATATATGCATTTGAGAAAAGATTTTTTTTTTTTTTTCTTGAGACGTAGCAATTGGTTTCCTTTCCCAAAAACAAAAAAAAAAAAAAAAAAAAACCAGGATTGGAAAGCAAGAAATGGAAAGGGGCTTTTTTTTTTTTTAGAAAATTATTTTCTATATAGATTTAAATTTTTACCTCTTATTTTTATTAATATCTTTTTAACTAATATATTTATTTAAATAAAAAGAATATTGATCAGGAGCAAGAATAAAAAATTAAACTCATGCACTCTAACGAGTATTTATCATCTTTTTATTATTATTCTAAATGGGCTCTGAATCGATATCCATTTTGTCATAGGCTGAGGTTCTTACGGGTTAAGGCCAAGCATATGATAGATGAATATAAGTTTATATAACCCACAATGATTAGCCCTTGAGGCTTTCCAATTGGTGTGGAAAGTGGTGAGAAAATTTTCTAAAAGATGGGGGAAAATGATATAATATATATGTAGACATATTCATGAGCTAAGGATTCGTGTCATCTAACCCCTTGCCAAAAATTCAAAAGAAAATTCAAAAGAAAAAAGTTCAGGAATCCAATGGTTCTCTAGCGACAAAATATCTATGTGATGCTTTTGTTGTACCACTCCAAAAATGGTGTCACACCTTTTTAACAAAGCGCAATGCATGATGCCACCAATGATCAATCATTCCAATTTTGTTTTGTAACCCTCTTATTGGTTTGAGAATACCGACATTATTTGGAATGATGTTTTGTCCTTTTCCGTAATGTATTTAACAAAGAAAAATTATATACATCATGAAAAAAGGTAATTTAATAACATCGTGAAACTAAAATATAAGTTGGGTAGGATAAAGTAACGGAGACAAAACGTTCATTTCAATTTATTCGAAATTAGAGAATTTCAACATGCTGGCATTCATGATGCTCATGACAAAATTTTTCACGATGTATGTTATTACTCTTGAACAAAAGCCCCAAGTTAGGAGGGAAAAGAAAAAAAAAAAGTTAATTATCACTAGTACAGAACCATGTGTATAATGGGTTCTACATTTAACACGTAAACTGTAATTAGTTTTGAACACGTGATAAGCATCACTAGTGCTAATATGCAAAATTACTACTCTTTAACAAATCAGCACAATATAACTTGAAAATTAGAATTAGAATCTAAAAACTAGGAGATGTTTGGTTAGAGGATTCAAACTATGATTTGAATCATGATTCATGATTCGTTACAGTGTTTTCTCTTATAAAAAATACACGTAAATTAAAAATGGTTCTAATTACATGATTTTAATCCATGAACCGAACGTCTCCATATTCCAACTTCTCAAAATAACTTCCCGTAAACTTTAACCAGGCACTATAGTTGCACTATTTTTTGTGCAAAGTGCTTTTGGGAGTTTTAAAAGTAATCTCAAATTGGTCCATAATTACTTTAAGAGAAAGGAATATGGAAGTAGGAGGGGCTCAAATATAGAAGGAAAAAAGAATAAGAATGTTTGCTGGAACCGTTATATTGTTCTCTATTATATATGATTCACACAAACTCAAGTACTTCATGATTCATGTTCCGCAATAACGTACATATGGAAGAAAGAGAATCGAAACAAAAATAATACAAAAAATACAGTGGGGTGGGAGGGCTTACAGGCTCTATTCATGCAGGTATGACAAGGTGACCATTTTTACTAATGGACACCATTCTCACCATAAGGGAATCCATGCGTGATGATGATCACTCCCTCAACGGAAAATCTATAACTTATTTCCGTATGAAAAACTGACATAAATACAATTGAGGTACATACAGTTTCATTTTCCTGGGAACGCAACCCGTGACCTCTGTCTAATTAGTATCGGATCCTTTGGAGATGATGTCTTGGCTCCTACCCCCGCTTGACGCATAATCTCTGCATAAGGCGATCCCGTCAAAATCCATACTAAAACCACGCAAGTTTCATTTAAAATTAACTGAGACGAAATCGTGTTAGTCACGACCAAGGGATAAGGAAAAACGAAAACAAGGACTTTCTTCTGGTGCTTTATGGTTTTATGAACAAGAGCACGGAAACACAAGCTTTGTTCTTTTCATTGTATGTAATTACATCAGCTAAACAACTGAACATATCAAGCATTATGAGAATTTTCAAGTTCCTAATTGCTCATTCAGTGACGGATACCAGCAGATCTCAGGTATCTTACTCAAGAGCTGTTAAGGAAACGTTAAAAGCATCTCTTTTAGAATTATGATCATGCACACTGAATACCAGAATGAAGTGCGGTTATTACCATAGAGTGACGGATACCAGCAGATCTCAGGTATCTTACTCAAGAGCTGTTAAGGAAACGTTAAAAGCATCTCTTTTAGGATTATGATCATGCACACTGAATACCAGAATGAAGTGCGGTTATTACCATATGAGTGGCCAAGAACAGGTCATAAAGTGGAAAAGAAAGTTAAAAATCATATCCAGGTGATGAGGAGTAAGAAATCAAAAAAATTACCTCGCGTCCTCTCAAGCTCTTCAACTAGCTCTTCTGTCCACTTCCTTTCCCTCTCGGAGCAGCTTGTGCTACAAGCAAAACCGTTTTAAACGTTAGAGTTACTGAATAGGATAAACTGGACAAGCGATTCTGTAGGGTTGCAAAGCTAATGTAAAGCACCAAAAGCATGAGAATGAACCTTTGGCTACATGACCCGTCCTGAGCATCAAGATCTTTCCAATCACTAAGCTGAGGTGGCTGGATTTCTTGCAAGGCTCGAGCATGTACACCGCTAGCATTTAATGCTTCTTTTGTACGACTCTTGGTCCCGGGGCTGAAAGTCTTGGCAGCATCAATCATGGAAGAGAATCTTCTGCTAGGTAACCGACTAGGTGACTTGCTTTTTGGAGGTAAATTTAGATTACTTGCAACATTTTCACCATCAGGAGTTCCCACAGCACTTGGATGATCAGCTGCATTCATTGTGCTATTATAGAACTGCTCAAGGGGTGTCTGCAGCTTCTTCAGATCTAATGCCTGACATGATATTGTAGAGTTATACAATTACGTTCTCTAATCCATAATATAGGACTTTCAAGACACAACATTATCGAGATAAAAAAAAGCATAAGATTGATCTCATTCTTGGAAAGAGCACCTTTTCATCCAGAAAGGCTCTAATTTTTGACTCTGTCACTTCATCATCATCCTCAGCTGCAGATGGGCCAGAAAAAAATTCAAAGTCGTTCTCCTTGCCAGATACTCCAGGGCTGCAATCAGCCATTTGAACAGTTTGACCAGGAGCTGTGTTCATTCCAACTCCATCCAACTCCAAACTTTTATCAAATTTATATGGCCAATCATCAGTTGGTTCACACATAGGATTAAAACTCTAGTCAACAGAACAAACCAACCCATGTATAAGTTAGTGGTACACATCTAAACATATATATATAGAGAGAGAGAGAGAGAGAGAGACCATTACCTTAGTCAAATCATTTGAGTCCAAGGCAGATTTGAACTTTACTAACGAACTAACAACAAGATCATCCTTATCATCAATCTGACACATTTCATCATCAGAATTGGTTTGTGCCCAGTGTGATCTTGCTCCTGAAAAATTCTCGGGATATACAGTTGAGCATCTCAAACCACCCAAGTCAAAAATATCTTTCAAGCCAGCGGAGGTTGACCTTCTGATCGAGGAGTTTATGCAGCATTATCAACATAATTCAAGAGTCAAGATTGCAAACAATCCAATAAGGACACCACAAAGTTAAGATACTCACGAGTTCCTTAGATTTACCCCAGGTGTTGCCATCACGTTTCCAAATTCCTGGTAGGAGTAAAGTTAGCAAGAAAAGAAAATATAGTGAAAAGATAGAACAATAGACTAAAAAGACTAATTCTTAACAGCAATTATACTGACCAAAACTGAAGTGCGAAATACTGGAAGCGATTCCTGATACTCATTGGTGACAAATGGATGCTGCACACAATTAGCCAAAATTAATGGTGCAGTAAAAAACTAAGATATGATGTGCAAACACTAGAAAAGAGAGTGTAGAAGAACTACCAAGTACTATCAATTAATGAAAAGCTAAGTCAACTTTGCAAATATGTACTTCAGAAATGTAACAAGATGTGTTGTATGCATAATTTTTATCAAGGTAAGTCACAATTGCAAATATGCACTTGAGAAAATGTAATACGAAGTGTTGTATGCTATGCATGACTTTTATCATTTTATGTATCTGGTGCTATATATTTTATGCATGAATCTACAGTTTGGGTTACCTGCAACAACTCTGATGCAGCTGGCCTAAAGTCCGGTTCCCTGTCACCACATTCTTATGAGAAGAATATTTTTCTCTTTCAAAGTTCAATATGTAAAATTTAAAAGACAAATTAAAAGACAACCAAAACAAAATAAAATATAGGATCTTTGCACAATTTGCATTTGATCTCGATAAAGCTACACAGAATCAATTGGCAAGAGGTCAACGATTACATGAGTTGCTCAAACAATCTCAATCAGCCCCTCTAGCGGTGGAAGAACAGATAATCACTATTTATACCGAAACAAATGGTTATCTTGAATCATTAGAAATTGGACAGGTAAGGAAATTTCTCATTGAGTTACGGACTTACTTAAAAATGAATAAACCTCAGTTCCAAGAAATGAATATGTAACAGACTCTAGATTATAAGATAAGCATGTTATTGGGTCTTGCAGGACGTGCAGAAAGAAGGAGTGAGAACAAAGTGAAGAAATAATAATCGTACTTGTGCAAACATTTTAGCAGAAAATCCTTGGCCTCAGCAGAGAGATGTTCGGGAATGGGTGGATGAGATTTTGTTGTTCCAATATGAAAGAGAGCCGCAACCTGAAAGAAACACCTATTATGAGTCTATGTCTTTTGTGGGAGAAAAATAAGCTTCAATTGTACACACGTTATGCATCAAAGAAAAGAAAAAACGGAAAGGGAAGGGGGAGGGGGCGGCAAAAAGAAAGAAAACGTTCACCTCTTGATACTGCTGGCTCCACGGAGGCTTTCCTGTAGCCATCTCAATCACAGTACATCCAACACTCCATATATCGGCCGAGCTAAAACATTTCAAAGTTCATAAATTCCAAGGCCAAAATTAAAGAGAGACGAACATAACTGTACTTTATTCTCTAAATTAGAGAATGGACTATGAGAGTTCATAATCTAGTGCGCTCGTATACGGAAATGACATTCAAATCAGGATGGTAAGGAGATGTTCCATTTTTTGTAGCATATAGTTACTTTGAAAAGTATTCATCTTTTTGTTCGTTCATTACGTTTTTTTATCATCGATCTTGCTATGCCTATCATTTCAATAAATAAATCTTTCTACCATGTCAGAGGACAAAAACTGCAGTTATGTGTTTATCTCAACTATACAAGTGAAGATTTTTCCTTACAAGCTATGCCCAGTTTGGAGAATAACTTCAGGAGCCATCCAATATGGAGTACCCTTCATTGACTTGGCACAATTTATAGTAGCCTGTATGAACAAATAAAAGCTTATTGACTGATGTGTATGAAAATTAACAAATCCAGTGTTAACTAAACTCTAAAACGGTCATACCAGCTCAACAACTTTCTTGGATGCTCCGAAGTCCGCAAGTTTAATGCACCCTTTATTATCAACGAGGATGTTTGCACCCTATATGAATATGTCCCTTATTAAATCAAAGAAATGTCTATTTTTCCTATGTATAAGAGTTTGACTAAGAAAAGGAAGAGTTACCTTGATATCCCGGTGCATAATCCCATTCTTGTGAAGGTACTCGAGACCCAATAGTAACTGTTTCGTATACATTCTTATGACCTGTTCAACCAAAGATTTCAAATTTCTATATCCATGTTTCAAATCAACAGATAATCCATTATTCAGAAAACATCAACCAAATGACTTACAGACTCAGGAAAGGATCCAAATTTCCCCAGTAAAGATGATATGGATCCGCCTGGAACAAATTCCAATAGAATATTCAACGACTCATCTTCCCTAGCAGTTCCCAAGTACCTCTGCAAATCAAACATTGGAACTATTAAAAGATAAGCAATCACCACCACTTCCGCAAAACAAGGAAGAAATTTTAATACACTCACAACTATATTTGGATGTGACAGATTCTTCAGAAGCTTCACTTCTTCTTCCAGCTCTCGAATTTGAGCCTATTTTCATCAGATACAATTTTCCAACCAAAAACATTCCTTATCGTCAGTTCTAAACTTGTGCACTACTACTAGTTCAATTAACAAAATTACAGTTCAATTAGATAAAAATTGAAATTCAGTATAGAATTTCGTTTGAACCCTTTTTGTTCAGCATGTAAGCCTAAAAGGAAGAAGAGTCACAAACTTATCACTTCATATACTTTGTGTTCACAATTTTAGTTACAGAACGGCTAGGACTAATCAGAACCGCTGATGCTACTAAAATCGAGTTCAAAAGCAAGAAAATCTACATAATTGCAACTAAAATTCATACCTGTGTTTTCTCCTTTGAAGCACTATTAGCAGCAATTAGCACCTGCAAGTTCCAAAACAATCCCAGAATGAAAAAAAAAGGACCTTGCAACGATTAGAAAATCTACATTGGAGAGAGAAATCACTAAAATCACAGAAAACAAAACCTGTTTCACTGCGAGAAGCTCGCCGGAGTCGAGGTTCATCCCCATGTAGACCCGACCGAAGGCGCCGCATCCAATCAGCTCGCCCTTCCGCCACCGGATCGGCGGCGACTCGTCCTTCTTCTGCGGCTTCGTCGGCGGTGGAGGAGGAGGAAGCGCCCGGACCGGCGGAGGCTTCGAGAACAGTCCGATTCGCGATTTGCGAATGCTGGATCCTATCTTCTCGACGAAGCCACCGAAGCCTCCCCCACCATCGTCGCCGCCACCCTGGGCGGAGGTTCGGAACACCAGCGACCGGCGGACCGATCCGATGAGGTCTTGCATCGGAAGTTTCGGGAACTCGATTCGTGCTTCGCTAGGGCTTCAATGGAGGCTTGTACGGACGCGAAAATGGTTAGGATTTTGTGAGTATTGTCGTCGTGAACTTCTGGTTCATCTCTGGTTTTTCTTTTCTTTTCTTTTCTTTTCTTTTCTTTTTGGGTTTTTTGTTTGTGGAAATTTGAA